CTAAAGCGACAGACTCGGGTTCAATCCCTGACGGAGGCCAGGTCTGGTAAGTGCACATTTTTGCGGGACTTTCCTTTAATCTTTAAATTTGCTTTCACACTCATCTCCGTTCCTATCTTGCTTTCTGACTGCTTATTTACGTCTATTATCTTACATGGCAACGAAAAATAAAGATTTTTTTTCCTCGTTTTGATTTCCTTTGCTTCCTCTCTCTCTCTCTGAGTGTGTGTGTGTGTGTGTGTTTGTGTGCATTGTTACATTTAGATGTATGTGTTGTTCATCATACACTAATGATTTTCATTTTTGCGTATTATGCTTACCACTCGCTATCCTTTCATTTCATCACTTCCATTCCTTTGTTTACGGAGCATTATCTTTCTTAATAACCAAGTTCTTTCCAATAATAAGGACTCATAGTAAACTGTTACAAATAACAAAGTTTATTACAAACTGCAATATATGGATAAATAATAAATATAACAATAGTGTGAAATAGACAATCCGCCTGGCAAAATGTTTCCGCTTTCTTTTCGTTCTTTTACTCCTTTGTTCATTATCTCTATTCTGTTTTCTTTTCCTTTTATTCTCCTTTCTGTTGTTCGTCCTCAAGTATCTTCTTTAGATGTAGGAGGTCGAAATAAGAGGCAGGCTCTTTATCCTGCTGTTTATTGGGCACCTGTACAGAGAGCAGGAGAGGGTGGCAGTTGGTGTGCTTTCTCTCCAGGTTGCGGGACCACTGACGGGAGGTAGCAGACAGACTCGAGGGTTGCCAATTAGGCTCTAATTATTGTCACCTCGGGCGTACCTGTTTTAGAAATGGCAGAGGTAATCATGACACAGATTTCGTATATCCACTCTGATTTTTTTCCTGCTTTTAACTTCTTTTTTCTCTCTTTTCCTATTATCTGTCTAATTTTCTGCTTTGCTTTCTTACCTAAAGTTTTTTTTCTTTTACATACAGGCCTTTAGTTCATCTTTGTTTTTGTTCTATATTCCTCTTCGTTATTTTTTCCTACATATTAGTATCTGACTATAAACAGCCTATCGCAATTTCTTGACTGAGTAATTTTAAATTTTCAGAACGAAATATAAAATCCAGCTCTCCAGCCTTCTCTTTTCGCGTAGGCCTATTTTGTATCCTTATTCCTTTTTTATTCTCATTTTCGTGTTTTTCTTTTTCTTTCCTTTCTTTTCGTGTTTTGTTCATCCGTGCTTTCATATTTTATTATGTTAATAATAGCTTCTTACGCCTACAATTGCATTTGATTTTAAATAGCTTGTAACTTCGTCTCTCAAACAGCCGTGATTCACATTTCAGAGTATAATAGGAAAGATTGTAAAACAGATTGCAGAGAAAACTTCCAGAGACGGAGAGAGAGAGAGAGAGAGAATCGCATTCACATATAAATATACATATGTAGCATAACCTGAGCTTTATGTAGATCAAATACGATATTTCAATATATGTCTCCGTGGTGTAGTGGTTAGCACGGTCGCCTCTAAAGCGACAGACTCGGGTTCAATCCCCGACGGAGGCCAGGTCTGGTAAGTTCACATTTTTGCGGGACTTTCCCTTAATCTTTAAATTTGGTTTCACACTCATCTCCGTTCCTATCTTGCTTTCTAATTGCTTATTTGCGTCTACTATCTTACATGGCAACGAAAAATAAAGATTTTTTTTCATCGTTTTGATTTCCTTTGCTTCCTCTCTCTCTCTCTCTCTCTCTCTCTCTTGTGTGTGTGTGTGTGTGTGTGTGTGTGTGTGTGTGTGTGTATCGTTACATCTAGATGTATGTATTGTTCATCATAAACTAATGATTTTCATGTTTGCATATTTTGAAACAAAAATTACATAAAAGAATGCTTCCGTCATATATTTTTACGATCTGCGCCTTTTACTCCGTGTTCATTTCATTTTTCAATGGAAGTTGGAACAAACCATAGCTCTTGCCATCTATTAACAAACAATTAGCATATATGGCCCAAGAAGTGCCCTTTAACTCGCCACCGCCCGCGTCGCCGCCCATTCCTAGAACCGTCAAAAACAGCTGATCACTAGAAAACGGGAATACTGCCTAATCGGGGAGACTTCGGTAAACGTATTTATCTGGTTAACGTTGCTGTTTTTAGAAAAGTAGACTTCCGTATATATTCGGACTGTAACAATTTGTCTGTGTATCTATTTATCTTAGTTTATATATATATATACATATACACGGTTTTCTTAAATGCCTACATATCATAAATTTTAATTGTTTTGATCATCTTAACTGCCACGATGATCTTCATCTCATTTTATTTGGCGTATTAATGTAGTTGATATACACCTATGGCTATAAAATAGAAACTAGAGTCAAAAGGACTCGAAGGCAAGTGTTTTATTTTGAATGCTGATTTGAGAAGTTTTTGTGATCAACTGCTTGCAAGATAGTTCAGTTTTTGCTTTGCGATGTCTGTATCACTCGGGTAAGTATTGTGTGTGTGTGTGTGTGTGTGGCGCATAAAAAGCTGAAGAAAGAGGGGGAGGGGATAATTTTGGGGGGTTAGCGATGTAACACACACACACAGAAGGAGAGAGAGGGGGGAGGGGAGGAAAGAGAAAATTGATCTTGATTTGGACTCCTAAACTTAACTACATATTTACGTATGTAAAAGTACATATAAGGTATTTCTTAAAATTCCTTAATATACGCAATAAATGTGTCCGTCAAAAACACTATACTGATTAAATTTGCAATGTCAGCAGGGCTGTAAGACCTTCAGTCATGCAGCTTATTTGACGAAAATAGGTCATTCTATTCACGGTGAGTAACTTTACCAGACGACAGTAGATGTCAGCACCTTTATTGCGGGAAATTTACACACCACGTTGCTATAATGAAAATAGAATGTATTACGAATTATATACGTTTAATCATTAAATTGTAAAACAGATTGCAGAGACAACTTCCAGAGAGGGAGAGAGAGAGAGAGAGAGAGAATCGCATTCACATATAAATATACATATGTAGCATAACCTGAGCTTTATGTAGATCAAATACAATATTGCTATATATGTCTCTGTGGTGTAGTGGTTAGCACGGTCGCCTCTAAAGCGACAGACTCGGGTTCGATCCCCGACGGAGGCCAGGTCTGGTAAGTTCACATTTTTGCGGGACTTTCCTTTAATCTTTAAATTTGCTTTCACACTCATCTCCGTTCCTATCTTGCTTTCTGATTGCTTATTTACGTCTATTATCTTACATGGCAACGAAAAATAAAGGAGACTTTTCCTCGTTTTGATTTCCTTTGCTTCCTCTCTCTCTCTCTCTCTGTGTGTGTGTGTGTGTGTGTGTGTGTGTGTGTGTGTGTGTGTGTTTGTGTGCATTGTTACATCTAGATGTATGTGTTGTTCATCATACACTAATGATTTTCATTTTTGCGTATTATGCTTACCACTCGCTATCCTTTCTCTTCATCACTTCCATTCCTTTGTTTACGGAGCATTATCTTTCTTAAAAACCAAGTTCTTTCCAATAATAAGGACTCATAGTAAACTGTTACAAATAACAAAGTTTATTACAAACTGCAATATATGGATAAATAATAAATATAACAATAGTGTGAAATAGACAATCCGCCTGGCAAAATGTTTCCGCTTTCTTTTCGTTCTTTTACTCCTTTGTTCATTATCTCTATTCTGTTTTCTTTTCCTTTTATTCTCCTTTCTGTTGTTCGTCCTCAAGTATCTTCTTTAGATGTAGGAGGTCGAAATAAGAGGCAGGCTCTTTATCCTGCTGTTTATTGGGCACCTGTACAGAGAGCAGGAGAGGGTGGCAGTTGGTGTGCTTTCTCTCCAGGTTGCGGGACCACTGACGGGAGGTAGCAGACAGACTCGAGGGTTGCCAATTAGGCTCTAATTATTGTCACCTCGGGCGTATCTGTTTTAGAAATGGCAGAAGTAATCATGACACAGATTTCATATATCCACTCTTTCTGATTTTTTTTTTCCTGCTTTTAACTTCTTTTTTCTCTCTTTTCCTATTTTCTGTCTAATTTTCTGCTTTGCTTTCTTACCTAAAGTTTTGTTTTCTTTTTTTACATATAGGCCTTTAGTTCATCTTTGTTTTTGTTCTATATTCCTCTTCGTTATTTTTTCCTACATATTAGTATCTGACTATAAACAGCCTTATCGCAATTTCTTGACTGAGTAACTTTAAGTTTTCAGAACGAAATACAAAATCCAGCTCTCCAGCCTTCTCTTTTCGTGTAGGCCTATTACGTATCCTTGTTCCTTTTTTATTGTCATTTTCGTGTTTTTCTTTTTCTTTCCTTTCTTTTCAGTTTTTGTTCACCCGTGCTTTCATATTTCATCATCTTAATAAGTTTCTTACGCCTATAATTGCCTTTGATTTTAAATAGCTTGTAACTTCGTCTCTCAAACAGCCGTGATTATATTCACATTTCAGAGTATAATATATAATATATATATATATATATATATATATATATATATATATATATACATTCCCACTTTACATAGCATATGTGAAAACTCTAGGCAAATTGTATTTCTTTTATTTTCTTCTGTTCTTCGTCTCCTTCTGCTTCCTTTTACTTATCTTTGTGTGTGTGTGTGTGCCTGTGTATTTGTCTACCTTTTATCGACTATTATCAAATCCTTCAAATTTCTTTTTTTTCTGTTCGTTTTAACTCAGAATTCAGAGAGAGAGAGAGAGAGAGAATTTAAAACTTTTATTATTGTTTCCAAGTTTCTGTTGATTTCAAGCTACTAAAATCCATACAATATACATTTTGAAGTACACACCATGGTGGTGCAATGGAAAAACTTCATATACGAACTAACTTTCTAAAATTAACTAAAGAATAAACATAAATTGTAGACTAAACACATACATCCACAAAATCCCAAATGTAGCATACCTATGCTGTAAGCATTATATATTTATTTGGCTTGTGCTAATTATAAATCCAATTAAAGTTTCATTTCAATCATACAAGTCTCTGTGGTGCAGTGGTTAGCGCGGTCGCCTGAAAAGCGACAGACTCGGGTTCGATCCCCGACGGAGGCCAGGAGAGAGAATCCACATTTTATGCACGAGTTTGTGTTTCTGGATCTACATTTACTTAATTGAACACAGAAAGCAAACACTGATATCAGTGAAAGGATTTCTCTCTCTTTCTAGAGAGTGAGAGAGAGAGAGACGCGTGTCATTTAGTCATTGTTTACTTTAAATTCAGCCCTTTTGCTTCTGCCTTGGTAATAATACGACGCATGAGACATGAAAATGAAAGCACAGGATTTTTTAAAATGCAATATATACAAATAAACGGAAATGTACACATTTTGAAAGGCGAAAAATTTCATTCCCAAATGAGAAGTGAGAAAGAAAACTACAAATGTAAACGACAAAAAGACAAAGGAAAGTAAGAAAAATAATGATTTGCAACATTTTTTTAAAATTTCAAATCCTTCAAATTTAATTTTTCTCTATTCGTTGTGACTCAGGATTCATGTTTTTATTTTTCTAGTTTCTTTATCCTATATTATTCTCTCAGAATATAGAGTTCGATATCTTAAAACTGCTGTGTTTAATGTTAATATATACACATAATATTATTTTACACTTAAACACCTATGTTATAATTATTATACTCTTATACACTTGATTTATTGTTATATAGTATTATACACTTATATTATTCCACTTATTCCGCGAGAGATAAACCGGAGCCTCTTGCCCTCGTCCGAAACGTCGGCCTCGGGAAACGGACGGTGGAAAGCGGACGGAGAGAGAAGGGGCGGCGGGGGGGGGGGGGGGGTAAGGCCTAAGCCAAGGAGACTTCGCTCACACTCGCAGCTTGTGTTTGTGTGTTTCTTTTCTCCTTTTCTCTACTTCCCTTCTTCTTCCTTATTTTTTTTCTTTTGTCTGAGCGGTCTCTTCTAACGTCGGTTGATTTATACAGTTGGTGCGTTGAATTCTCCGAAAGAAAAAGAGATTTTTTGGCAAACCGTCTCCATTTCCCTGTTTGTTTTATCTGTTTATCTTTTCGTTGTTTCTCTTTCTCCTTTTTTCTGCCAAGTTTGGCGAGACAGGAGAGAGAGAGAGAAAAAAAATATCGTTATCATCATTTTCATTATTATCATTTTTGTTATTATTATTTTTATTATTATTATTATTATTATCATTATTATCACAATCATCTTACACTGATTCGTATCACAATCATTGCCTATAGTAATTATCAAAGTGATCAATTCCCATCTGCACTGTGGCCGTTCCTTTTATCCTGCTCTTATCACCGCCATCATCATCTTCCTCTCAGTTACCGAATTATCATCACCCATTTGCTTTGTTCTCTCTCTCGTCCGTCTCTTTCTCTTTCTCTATCTTAACTGTTGTTCTGTCTATCTCTATGTCCATTTAACAAGTTCGGTCTCTTATCAACAGTATCATATCATTATCCATATTATTATCACCATTCTATCATTATCTTTATAATTACTTTACTACCGCAATCATTTCCGTTGACTGATTTTCTCTCTCTCCCTAAGATGCGTTGAAATCTCCGCCGACTCCTCCAGCGAAGTCGAAGTCAGTTGCAATGCACTCGTATCACAAGCAAAATGTTGAGCGCATTAGATCGTAAAATGTACTTCAAACTTACGTCAGTGATAGGCACATGTTATGTTCTTATTTTCATCCAACACTCTGCCATATATTGTAAAATTTTTGCTTTTATTATTTTGCCTTCTTTTTTCTCTCTTCTTTATTCTTTTTTATTCTTAGTATTATGTTGTTTTTTACTTCAAACTTCACATGTTTTTGTACGAATTTATCATCTGTAAAATCCCTATCGTTTTTACTATTTATTTGTCATGTTTAATTATCATCGTGATTAGTATTAGTGTTATAATTAATATCAATAGAGTTAATGATATCATCATCAAAATCATCATCAAAATCATCATTATCGCTTTCATAATAATAATCATAATAATGATACTAATACACTTGATGATGATATTTAGTCTCGTAAAATACTAAAAATTCAAAATGATCATAAGTTCATTCCCAATCGGCTCTGCTCTCTGGAAGATGAAGTAAAAAACATTATCGTTATTATCATCACTATTATTCTTTAGAGTTATTGTTATTTTGATTATCTCCATATTCGTATCTTATTACAGTTATCATTATCATCATCACCTATAGCCATCTCCCTTTTTCTCCTCGCAACCGGATTTTTTCTTTCTTTCTTTAACTGAGAGTCCTGAGAAGGCGCATTAGCATAAGGATGACTTTGTGTAGAAATTCCAAGCCTGATTATCGGATTCCTCCCCAGCCGCTTTCCCTTCGAAGTTTCTGCGCAAGAAGTCTGCGGAGAAAACGCCAAAATTCAACTACTAGTTTCCATGTCTTACAAATTTCAAGTCGGGTTTTATTTAACTCTGGCATGATGTCTATGATTAAAAAAACAGTCAATGTTTATTTAGTC